ACCCGGTCACATGACCGCCTCCACCAAGCCACACCCACAGAACCGGTGGCAAAATGATTTATAGATTTCCCCGCTGCGTTTGGGGCTCAAAACAACTTTCTGTAGAATACAGAGAGTTCTCGAGTTGTAACCATTCATTTAGCAACCATTCAATGTGTACTGAATAAAGTGACCCTTGCTCACAATTGTCACAATATCCCCAGGGTCACACCATCAAAATTTGGAAGACTGGCAACCGGTATGTATTTTACAACAGTCGCCGTGTCCGGGGTGGGATCACGCAATCCCCATTGGGGACCTTCTCAGCTGGCTTCCGACAAGCAAAAGTCAATGGGGGAAGCTGGATTGGTTTAAAGACCGTGTGATTCACTTAACAACTGCAGTGATTTGCTTAAAGAGCATGGCCCAAAGGTCGTAAAATCAGGCACGACTGACTTAACAATCCCTTCACATGACAACAGAAATTCTGCAGTGGTTAAGTCCAGGGTTACCTTAGACCAGTGTTTCTCAACCTTGGCCACTTGAAGATGTCTGGACTTCAACTCCCAGAATTCCCCAGCCAGCATTCGGATCTCTTCGTTTTTCCACTATTGTGCAAACACAATTCTAGATCAGTGTTTCTCAACCTTGGCAACTTGAAGATGTCCGGACTTCAACTCCCAGAATTCCCCAGCCAGCATTCGCTGGGAGTTGAAGTCCGGACATCTTCAAGTTGCCAAGGTTGAGAAACACTGTTCTAGATGCTGTTAACATGTGCAGAATTAACTAAGTATTTGTTGTATTTTTCTGCTAAGATACCCAGCAAGAATATTTCTGGCTTTAGATCTATAAGTTTGCTTTACCATTTTTTCCAACCATTGTATTTTTGTCCAATATTTCTTTTTGCCTTTGGGCATTTCCATCACATATGACAATATGAACCCAGCGTCTGATTACCGTATTTTTTGGAGTATATAAGGCACATCTTTTCCCTTCAAAAAAGAGGCTGAAAATCTGGGTGTGTCTTATACACCGAATACAGCATTTTTTTTGCCTCCTGACCCCCCCCCCTTCACCAAAATAGCCCTGCAGAGCCTTTAGGAGGCTTTTAGAGAGCTCCTGGGGGCTGGGGAGGGCAGAAATGAGTGAAAAACAGGCCGTTTTTTTGCTCTGTTCCCCCCCCCCCACCTCGAGCACTCTATAAACCTCCTAAAGGATATGCATGGAATTTTTTGGACAAAAAAACAGGCCCATTTTTTGCTCATTTGGGGGGCACCCCCCCAGGAGCACTCTACAAGCCTCCTAAAGGCTGTTCATTCCTTTTTTTTTAAAACGGACCTGTTTTTTTTGCAAAAAAAGAGCCATTTTTGGGAGGTTTGCAGGATGCAAAAACTTTTTTTTAAAAGCCTGCCTCTTCAATACCTTGGTGTGTCTTAAACATCTTTGCCGGTGGAAAGAGCCATAGAAGCTAAACGTTTTCAAGGGGGTGGGGGAGAAAAGACCTTTTGGAAAAAGCACATTTCATACAGCTTCAGAAGACAATTAAGCACCTTTTGAACAGTTCTCTGAAAGGGAGAATCTGGGTGAGGGATCTCTTTGAATCCCTTCAGGGGATGGAGAACTTCTCCAGCAGGTTTCCAGGGCAGGGATCCAGGAGAGCCCCACGTGGTTGTCTTCCCTGGGACCGTTGGCTGCCTGTGTGGTAAAGTATGCGTTTATAAACTATGGGAGTGCAAAGAATTTCACACTCCACCCACCCAGGAGAATTTCACCCAAGCCCTCTTCTCTTCACAACTAATCTCTGGAGTGACTTCCTCCAGTTGTTCAAACATCTTCTTTTAACGACCCCATAATATGGGCTGGAGCCTAAGCAACTGAATGGAGCTGAGTGTTTACTGGCCGGATGCCTTTCCCCGTCGCCAACACGGAGTTTTGTTCAGCAGATATATTCTCATTGTTCCCAGAAATCTCAGCCTCTACCTAGGAGGTGGCTCAGTGGTTAAATGCAGCACTGCAGGCTACTTCAGCTGACTGCAGTTCTGCAGTTCGGCTGTTCAAATCTCACTGGCTCAGGGTTGACTCAGCCTTCCGTCCTTCCAAGGTGGGTAAAATGAGGATCCGGATTGTTGTTGGGGGCAATATGCTGACTCTGTAAACCGCTTAGAGAGGACCAAGCTAACTGCCTGAATATTCCCATCCTGCCCCTGGGAGTCAAAGCGCTGAAGCACAAGCAACGTGGGAAACCTCCGCTGGGTTCTTCGATAGAAATGCAAAGATTTCTCTGCGGACT